TGTTACTATTACCCAGGAGTTGCTTTGAGCTCTGCTTAAGTTTTAATACTGCCTGGACATACGGTCTATTCTCCATCTGCAGGTTCAGTCTTCTGTTTCTAGCACTGGCTAGCTGCTGCTGCTGCTGCTGCTGCATCGAAGCCCGAATGTTCACTGGCATCGGCTGTTTGTTCTTCAGCATATTAGTAAAGCGATCATTTAGAAATATCTTGTTGGTGCCTTTTATCACAACTTTTGGCAGTGACTGTGTAGCCATTTGAAATCCTGAGAATCGAAGGAGTCAGATGCCAGGCCTCTTCCCAGGGCTGCCACCACTGCTGCTGTGAACCTGAGCTAACAGGGGCCTCTGGGGCTAACTAGCTTGGCAGTTAGTTTAGATGCTCAAACAGTATGTTGCAAAGCTCACTCGTCATTGGTTGCTTATCTGGCCAGCTGATCCTCCTGCTCCTCAGGCCTGCTCTTCCTGCACCGCAAATTCCTGCTTGGTGTCCTTATGATATTATGGAGACCTAATACAGTCAAACAACCAGAGTTCCATCATTTCCATACACAAAATACTTCATCATAGTCCTACACAATTTACTTTTGACACAAGAAATATGCTAATGTCAGCGCAACAATACATGATTCATCAGGGTGAAAAATCCAGGATTGATGAATGGAAGGCCTGAAATAAGAAACCCTGTGGTGTGAAGTATGTCAAGCGTATCTGTACACCCCTTGTAAACTGTGAAATTTTTGTTTCTGGACTTCATTTTATTTTGCTTTTTCGAGACAGGGTTTCTCGGTGTAGCTTTGGAACCTATCCTGGCACTTGCTCTTGAGAACAGGCTACCTTCAAACTCAGAGTGATCCGCCTGACTCTACCTCCTGAGTGCTGGAATTAAAGGCATGAGCCACCAACGCCCAGCCTACACCTCAAATTTTAAGATATCCACTTGTCTCCCATTCCAAAGGGCCACAGTGCAACACTTTCATAGGAAAATCATTAAAATTGAATGTCCACTGTCCAGGAATTGGTGGCACATATCTTTAATCCCAGCACTCCAGAGGCAGAGCCAGGTTAATCCCTGTGAAATATGAGCCAGTCTGACCTCCAGAGTAAGTTCCGGGATGGGCTCTAAAGGAAAACATAGAAAATGGATCTCAAAATATCAAAAAAAAGGAAAATGTAATGACCACCAAGCTTAGATTCTTAGGATAGCAAAGACATGTTCATATAGGAAGATAGCACATTCCTATCATTCAGGTTTTTAAAGGTCATATCCTTTATCAGAATGTGGAGCTGTGTGTCAGGACTTTCATCTGAGCTCTCAGAAGGCAGAGGTATGTTTATCTCTAGAGAGAATGGTCTACTCTTCTACAGAGCTTGTTCCAGGACAGCCAGAGCTCTTCCACAGAAAAACCCTGTTTCCAACCTCCAAAACCAAACAAGTGGAAAATAAAATAACAAAAGAAAAAGCAAAAAAGAATGGTTACCCAATGACCACACTATATCTTTGGGATCTCGTAGTAATTTTGGGCAGCTTTTCCCTCAACTCACAAACACTGACAAAAAAACACACTACTGAAGCCACCAAGAATAGGAATGTTACTATTCTCCAAACTTACCTCTTTCTAGGATGAATTTCAAGGTAATTCCAGGAAGCAATAAGAACGCATGAGTCTCCAATTCTCTGCTCTGCTCTGCTCCAATTGAGGTTCTCTTCAAGTTCACTTCCTTTTACACTGCCTGGCTTCAGAGTCAAACAATGATGCTAATGAATTGAGAATAAGATCAGACCACACCTACTGTACCTGGGTGTGGCAGTCAGGACATTCTTCCTATTAATCACTAAGTGGAGCAGAAGAGTCTCCAGGGCCTGACAACTTAATTTCCTAGGAAGAACAAGGATGGCCTTTTGTATGTTAATAGATTGAGAAAACTACAGGGAAAACAATAAACTAACATGCTAACTAGGGATGGAAAAGCCCCATTCCCCTCTGCTTGAATTGCAGATGGAATCCTACCCCAGCCCCAGCTCTGCATCTTTATGTAAATCTTGATGATGCCATGGAAGGACAGCTTTTTTTTTTCAAATGTGTGTCTTGTAGCCTAGTCTGTTCACAATTTAATCAGGTGGATGACAATGATTTTGCACTCTAATACTATCATTTCAAACTACTCAGTTTTGGCTCCCACAGCTGTCTGGAAATCTTTTAGGTTTTCTGTCTGTTTTGTATTTTTTTGTTGTTGTCATTCTGTGTTTTAAGATTTTGTTTCAGTGTTTGTATCTCCCAGTCTGTACTGGAACTCCTTTTGAGACCAGCTAGACTTCAAACCCATAAACACTTACCATAGGCATTGAAGTTCTGAGAGGAAATACTTGTCCCCTTTAAGTGACCTTCTCCCAACATGCTAATTATTAGGTTCAACTGTGACACCTGATTTATGTGTTTACTTTTCTTTCCCAATTTCTGTTGTCTTCTATAAAAATATACTTAATCCAAACATACAAAGATCAGTGTCAAAAATTTATGAAGTCTAGTCTTCCAAAACAACAACACTAATTATTTTGACTGCTGAAATGTCAAGATGCTGTACTCCTGGGAGAATTTAAAATTTCACATAGTAGGAAAGACCTGTAAATTGTGCAAATGGATTAGCCAAAATGTGCAAAAATCATTGAAGCTTCAATATGAATATTGCATGATTTATCTGCACTGGTATTCATTCTTGTTTTTATATTGTATTTTTTAATAAATTAAATAAATGGAAGTATATGTCTGAAAATGATTGTTTTCATGAGAATAATAAACATATCAATGAGTGTCACTATTCACTGCCTTCCTGAGAATTTCAAGGGAGGTTCAGTTGCAGGAAGTGTCTAGTGGTAGAAGGTCACAGGATGCAATTTCGGCAAGGTGTGCTAGAAGAGCCCCTTGGCTCTTATGTATGAAAAATATGGACAGAATAAAATGAGTTCATTTTTCAGTCCTGAAAAGCTATTTCTGAGATAGGCAAATTCTCTCCACATGTTGTCTTGACATATATTACATTTGGTTACATTCTGCAGGATTAGGGTATGTGTTTTACCCATCATTATAGTTGGATCCTTCTGATTCAACCTTTGAACAATGATTCTCTACCTTATTAAGGCTACATCCAATTGATACAATTTTTCATGTTGTGCAGACACCCAAATATAAAATTATTTTTGTTGAACCATCATAATTCTTATTTTGATACCTTTTAAATTATAGCATTGCAATTACATTATATACAAGATATCTGGTCTATGACTATGTGTCTATCTATGACTATGTGTCAGGTCAAGGATCCTCCCAGGCCAGCAGTATGGAGCACAACAGGTAAAGAACCATTGCTTTAAATGTAGGATTAAATAGGTGGCCTAAATGTGTATCATAAACTAAGTCTTTGATTATATTTCGTTTTGATAATTTTGTTGTCTTTAGAAAAGTACTCATGTAGACAAGACTGGCCTTAAACCAACTGGGTATCAGAGAATGACTGAAATTCTGAATCTGCTGGCCCAAGAGCAGTCACTGTAGAACTGGAACATGCCCTCAGGGAATATTATTGTTAATAGCTTTGTTCTGCCCTCTCACAATCATATACAGGTCGTGATCAATATTAGGATAGGCCCTTATTTGGAAGCATTAGGAATATTGTGGTTCTATTACCGAATTCTGTAATCCCATAATGGCTAGAATCTCTAAAGATTAAAAAGAGTAAAATATCCCCTCAGGCACAATGTTGGAATCTTTAATATTCAAATCTGGAGAGCCTGCATCTACAAAATATAATCTCAATAGGAAAAAGAAAACTGGAGAACAGTCCATAGGAAAAGGGATAAGAAAGACAAATTCTGTGGAAGGGATCACCCATAATGTGTGCCAACAAAAAATCTTCAATGTGAATATGTGGAACTTCTACTGATAGCCAATTTAGTTGGCTGGAAGTTAGTGGAATTCTGAACAGTATCTAGCCCTAGTAGATAAATGGACTTTGGGATCCCATTTCTCTGTGATGTCCACTCTCTCAGATTATGCCCTCCCCCAAATAATATTATAATCTTTGATGATCCCCAATGGAAGGCCTCACCATCCTGGGGTATGGATGAGGGGTGTGACAGGGTTGTCAATGAAGAGCTTGTGAGAATGAGAGGGTGAGAGAAATAGGATTGATGTGTAAAATAATATAGTTTCTATATATAACATATACATTAGGGAAAATAAATTGAAGCCTCCTGGTGTCTTGCTCTAATGCTTCACCAAGCACCTGGTACACTGAGGAATATCATGATTCATCCAAAAAAAATTGTAAAGGATACTTGAACACTGCTCAGTCTCCCCAGTGAAATCACCAAGTCATACACAGATCCCGACAAATCACTCAGCCAAAAGAACACAATCCTGATTCATAATATAGATATTATTCCATTTTTATTTCCTTATGAGTGTTTCTGGAGTTTATCCATGAAAGCTTTCAAGCTTTCCCATAGGTTTGGGTATGCTGTTCTTTCATTTTCATTGAATTCTTGGAAGTGATGCTTTCTGTCTTTATTACTTCCTTTGCCCAGGAGTGATGCAATCGAGCATTGTTCAATTTCCGTGAGTTTGTGGGGTTTCTGCAATTTGTGTTGTTTTTGAATTCTAATTTTAAGCCACGGTTATCTGATAAGATACAGATAGTTATTCCATTTTTTTTAACCTGTTGAGCTTTGCTTTATTGCCAAGTATGTGGTCCATTTGAGAAAAGACTCCATGTGGTGCTGAAAAGAATGTGTATTCTGTGTGTTTGGATTTAATGTTCTATAGCTATCTGTTAAACAAAATGGTCAATAATTTCTGTTATTTCTTTTGTTTCTTTGTTAAGTATCTGTGTGGTAGTCCTGCCCAGTGGTTCAAGCGAGGTGTTTAAGTGTCCCACTATAAGTGTGTGGGTTTTCATGTGTGATTAGAGTTTTAGCAATGATTCCTTTACAAATGTGGGTACCTCTGTGTTTGGGGCATAAATGTTCATAATTGAGACTGCATCGTGATGGATTTTTCCTGTGATGAATATCAAATGACCTTCTTCATCTTTTTTGATGAATTATAGTTTGAAGTCTAATTTGTTATTTAGTAGGATATTTACTCTTACTTGCTTCTTAGGGCCATTTGATTGGTAAAACTTTTCCCAAACCTTTACTCTGAGGTAAAGCCTGTCTTTGAAGGTGAGGTGTGTTACCTGAATGCAGCAGTAGTGTGGAT